CTTATAAACGAAAAAAAATTGGTCATTATATACATATTTTGAATTTTACGATTTTGTCCTAAACATAAAGACTTATCATACTGCGTCAAAATCAAAGCTTTCTGTACAAAAAATCAAAATATTTTTATGTTCAAAGAATTTTTTTTAACATTTGCTTGAGTTACTTCAGAAAATTAACAAATCAGCAAAATGTGAATCACAATATTTAAAGTAGAAAAAACTGCAAATAAGTGCGTTTTTTTTTTGACTAATTCATTTTATTAAAAAATTATATAATTATTTTATTTCCAAATCGATGAAAATTTTCAAAAAAGTTAGTCTCAAAAATAATAAAGAAGTTGATCTTCATTTTAGTAGATGGTACCAAAAAAGTTTATCCCTAATGACGCCTTGGCAACCGTTAAACATTTGATTTTTTACAATAAGTATGTCTAAAAAAGGATTTCAAAAATTTTACAGTAATAAAAATACTGCGGATAAATATATGTTATTGACAATTTAAAATGCTAGAGAAGTTGAGGCAACTGACTATGGGCGCCAACCAAAAAAGGCGCTTGTTTTTTTATTTTCTTTGAAAAGTTATTTTTAGAATAGATATGTATATTTTTAAATTTTATTACGAAATTTTAGGCGACGGTTATTCAGATGACTTAGAACGCCATCAATCCAACAATGTCACAAATGCGGCCCTGGTTATAGTAGCATAATCTAGTTAACTAGGTAACTTGATTATGCTATGTAGTTTTAAAAACAATACAGATTTTACAACACATTTTCTACAAAAAAAAAAAAAAAAAAAAAAAAGAAAAATAAACATTTTTGCAGTTTTTTATTTTATGTTAATATATTGTTTCTTTTCCACATTAAAAAAAATTGTCAATAAAAAGAATTAAGTTGTGCAAAACCATAAATAACTTAATTACAATTACATAATTAAAATAGTTTCAAATTTGGAATTTATGTCTGAAACAACAAATGATGGTAAATTGTAAGATCGACCTGTTGCAGAACTGATTGGATTTGGAATGACTGCAATAACATGCTGCTCAGATACCCAACAAGTGTCTTTGGTGCTAGGCCAGTAAAATGACTGAGCCATACCATGAGGATGCATAAAATCAATGAAAACATCTTCCTGTTCTTCTGAAAATTCACAAACATTTCCAATCCACCAATGTGCATCGTAAATACATGCAACAAAATTTCCAGGACTAAGATCAGGTAGTGAAACTAATTTGATTGAGTTGTTGTTGTAACTTTCATTAACATTTGCAAAAAAAGATGTATTGTCATTTGAAATACGACTGATACAAACCTGATTTTCATTTACAGGTACAAATTTGTGATTATCGCGAGTACCTGTAACTGTGTTTCCAGTACTAAATTGATTCTCTTGATTGCCTTTTACACTGTCTACTTCATCACTGGCAACATAAATAAATGAAATACCCGTGACACTTTCCTTGCAAAAGTCATATAAATTTAAGGGCATTAAAATTTGATTATCAATTGGCCGTTGAAGACTGGCACGTGCTGCTAAACGCTTCACAGTTCCTCCGATTCCATCACAGGGAGATTTTCCATGACTAGTTGCAAAGAAATTCCACTCTGTTTTAATGCCATAGTCAGTGTTATGGTAACATAAATTCATAAAGTTTTTAAAGTTTTTGTACTGTGCAGCTGAACCGTCACTGAAATAATGAATAAGTTCAAAAGGCAAATAAGTTTTAAGTTCAGATATTAATTTACCAAGAAATACATGAACAGAAATAGTATCGTTATGCATGCAATCACTGATAACACAATAACATGTATTTTAAAGTACGTCATTAAGTTTATAGTAAACAACAAAAGGATGCAAAGTTGTTTTGAAGCATACATTCTTTAGATTCAATGTCACAAACTATTTTTTCAATCAGACATTTATAGTCTACTGTAACTGGGCTACTTTCAAGCATTAATTTTATATTTTGGTGAATAGTACATACACAAATACGATGAGTACCTGACGATCTAACAGATATACACCATTTTGGACGTAACTCACAAAATTTAGAAAATCCAACTTCAGCTCCATTTTCTTTTTTATACTCCAATAAAAGTTCCTTTAAACTAACTAACAGTAATTTTTTTTTGCATGTGCACTTTTTTAGCACCAATGCGCACACATACAAAATCCTTTTTCCTTGGACATGTTCAAAAGCTTCGTGTTCGTAAAATTTTAAAATTTTTTCTTTAACATGTTCTGGCAATTTCTTTCGTGCATTTTTTTCTGGAAGTGCTAAGATTCCACTTTTCGCCTTCACTTTTTTGCTACTTTAGCCATTCTACGGAAAAATCTCACTAAATTAATTCTAGAAATTAATTTAGTGAGATTTTTCCGTAGAATAAAAATATACTTACTTACTCTACATGGCTATAGTTAATTTACGGACCTTAATATCGTTTTTAAAACATCA